TAAATTAAAATTAGATTTTAAAACTAAATATAATTATAATCAAGCAAATATTTTACTAAAAGAAGAAATGAAAAGTTATATTATAAAAATAGAAAAAACTTATTTATTTTAATGTTTATTTCGTGATAATAACTTTTAAAAGAGACTAAAAAAATACAAAAAAAGTCAAATTCGTATTTTTAATGTGAATTTTCAAAAAATTTAAAAATTTGTATTGATAAATTAAATAAAATATTTTTAAATTCTATTAATTGTCTAATTATATAATAATTTTATAACTAAATTACAAAAAATTCTATTTCAAAAAAAGAATAAGAAAAGAAAAAAATATGATAAAATATGAATAATATAACGTAAATAAATAAAAATATGTGAAATATATGAAATTACTATTTTTGTAAAATTAAACATAATAATACAATCAGTGATAAAGAATTGTATAATCAATACTAATAATATATATTCATATGAAAATTATATATACATTTTTTAATCAAATATTATAGGGTTTACAGTCTGTAAAGTTTATGAAATATTACAATCAAAGTTCATCATAAAGTTCACAGTTTATAATATTTATATAATATTAAGGTCAAAGTACTTTGCAAAGTGTACTGTAATTACAGTATTAAGTAAATTATTAATTTTTTATATTTAAAAACTTATGTAATTTGACAATTTACATTAGATTTTCATATTTAAAAAAATGTTATATCATGTTAATTAAAGTATTAATTGTTGAATATTTTCTTTTCAAATATTTAAATCTACATTTTGATAAAATATTTACATACATTAGAAGATTTCATATATTAAAAATAGATTAAAAATTAATTATAAAATCAAATTTATTAAGTAGTATTATAAAGTAAATATTAGTTTTTAATTAAACAATGCATAATGCATAATAATTAATTTTAAAAAAAATATAATATAAAAAAAAACAAATAGAAAAAAAATATTAAAAATACAAAAAATACAAAAAAAAAAAATAAAATTAAAATAAAAAAAATTAAAACAACTAAAATAAAAAAAATAAAATAATAAAAAAAGATCACAAAAATTAAAAATTAAAAATTAAAATAAATAAAAAATTAAAATTAATATCTTAATCTTTTCTTTTATCTCTTCTTTTATCTTTTCTTCAGTTTTTCTTATTTCTCCTATTTCTTCTTCTTGATTCACTTCTAGATCTACTTCTTTCAGATCTATTTCTTCTTGATCTATTTATTTTTCTACTTCTTAATCTACTTAAATTACTATTACTTCTTTTTTTACTTCTTTCTCTACTATTTTTCCTTTCTCTACTTCAATTTATAAACTTAAGCTATATTCTGTTTACTTATTGCCTAATATAAGATCTTCTTATAGAATCTAAAAATAAAAAATTAATTAATATATATATTAAATAAAACAAATAATAAATTTATTAAATTATCATAATTACTTTAAAACAACCAAAATTCATCCTCCATCATTCCATAAAATTTTATATTGTATTTATTAGAACTTTTTAATAGAAGTTCTTCAGAATTTTCTATTCTGATTCTTTTTATATTTTTATAACTATGAACTAGTGCATTCCACTTAATTTGGCACTGTCTTCTAGTGACTTGTATTTGATTATTTAAATTAATTTTTTGAGATATTTAATCCTAAATGCCAACATGTTTATGATTGTTAGCATTTTCAAAATCTTCTCAATAAACATATCATAAATTAATTAAATTATTAATAATATTAAAGGTCTAAATACTAGCTAACATTTTTGAATTTTTTCTAATGAATAAGTTGTAAAAAATTTATGGATATTTATATACACAAAAAAATTATTAAATCATATTATTATCATCTTTATATTTATTATAATAGTCAAAATTCGAAATTAAATCTAACTAAATGACAATAAAAATGATTATAACAGAAAGTCTATCCAATTCTCAATTGTTGTTTAGTAATGATTTTTAATGACCTACCTTAATAAGAGCTTCTTTTTAATTCTTTGAGAAGTCTCTTATTAGCATATAATAATAACTCATTATAATTCCAATTATAAGAACAACTAAGTCAAAGATGTCAATAGTCACTTACTATTTTTTTCAAATAGTTTGCTTGAAATTTATAATAAAATTGATATTATTTGAATCAATATTAAAGAAGAAAGGAAGATTAATTGTATTATCTGCAGTCCTTTCACTTAGTTGTAAATTTTAGTTTTCAATTTCTTGACATTTTTGCCTCCTTCAATAGAAATTAGTTTAAAAATAATTAATTGATTAATAAAACAGATCTGAAATAATTACCAGATTATACATAAGAAGATTGATAGGAAAATCAGGCTTAGAAAATTTTTTTAAGATTAAAAGGACTTAATTTTATTGATTGTTAAGGAAAAAAATTGATTTTTATATTTTACTTTATATTTTTTATACAAACTTCCTTTCTCAAAATATTTTCAATTTCTTCAAGCTCTGGCTTGAGATTAGCGGGTAAGAAAATTTAAAATAAAGTTGATAACATATTTCACAAATATCCTAAGTTACAATAAATGCTTCTAAGAGAAGATAGGTAAGTATGCTTCACGAGAAATATTTTAATATTCACCTAATGTTACTTAATATAATTACAGTTTACCTTTACAGATTGGATCGAAAGTTTCAGTAAAAAATTATAACATTTTTCTTGACCAAATGAAAAAACTGGAAATAAATTTCATTGACAGGAAAAACATATATATTATTGACATGTCTAATAAAAAAACATGAGCTTGTAGTAGCAGTTCTTTTTAAATGTATTTTGATAAACCAAATAATGTTTTGATACTTAGTCTGATAAATGTTCTTGATACACCATATAAGTGATTCTCATTTATTTTGCTTGGTCTTTGATTTGTATAAGAATTCACAATTTTTTCCTATAGATCATTACAATACAATTGAAAGTAAAAATAAAATTACACTAAATATCATAGTAATGATCATATTTTAAACCTATTAATTCAACATTACGGTCCTTTTCTAAGCGATATAAATATACTTTGAGTTTAATTTTATTATTATAATATTTTCTAGATACTTTTTTAATATTAATTGTATATTTACATAGGATCATCCTCATATGAGAATTGTTTGTGAGATAGTTAATTCTTAAACAATCGTTCACTGAAATACAAAATGTGAATTATGAATGCATGAAGATTATATATGCTGTATACTTAGAATTAAGCTTTTCTCACAACATTTATAAGAACAACTATTTATCAGATAATGATCATATGATTTGTGCTTTTAGATTTGTTTATTATTAATATTATCTCATAGTTTTTTTTTATTATTAGGCTCATTTTCATAGGAGGACTTTTACATGATTGGCTAATTATATTACATAAATTTTGTAGTTGATATTATAAATATTTATACACGTTATGTAATATACTACGCAATTATATAATTTAACTATTGTATTTAAACTATTTAGCATTTATATGTATAATAAATTAAAGTATTAAGAATAAAACCTTTATTATAAAAATTAGTTTAATTTATTGATTTTATATAATAGTCTTAATTTTTGTAAAAAAAAAAAATATATAAAATTTGTTATTTTTATTGTAATTAAAATGCTTTTCTAAATAAAATTGTTCTTTTAAATAGTCTATTGCTATTGAAATTTATGTAATGCCTTTTTTAATACACACGTTACATATTCTATGAGTTTATTTTCATTATCGTCATCACATGAGGTATTATTTTCTGGATCTTTAACTTTGACTTGCTATTCTTCGAAATGATATAAGCGTTCTAATAAAGACTGAACATATTTATTAATACTGACTTGTAAGTATGAGAGGCAATGCATGCACTTGAATCCATTATTAGTATAGCAATATTTGTGATAAGTGTGACTGCAAGCCAAAACTTTAATAGGATTTGTATTAATAATAAAGAATTAGAATAGTTAGATATATCGCAATATTATAATAGATCTGATTTATATAAAGTATTAAACCCTAAAGGAAGATGACATAATCATGCTTCTGCATTTTCATCACTATTAATAAAATGGAAATTTTATTAAATTTTTGACGTTTCTTTGAAAATGAATTTGGATTCACAGTAATCTGTAATAGAATTATTAATAGCAGTTTATTGTGAAATACACGTGTATGGATTTTTGAAAATATTGCAAAAGAAAACATATATTTTTCTTTGTTAAGAATATAATATCTTAAGAAAAATATTTGTAAGCAGTCCACGTAGATGTGTATACAATATTTTCTCTAAACTTATTATCATTTAAATATAGTCAGTTAATATAATATCCATATTTGATAATCTGCCATACCTCAATATATTTTTGAATGTTTTGACATAAAAAGTTGTGAAATATTTCTACAGTTGAATCTGAAAACTTTGGAAGTTCAGTAACAATAGTATCTAAGATAGAATGTTTGTTTAACTTCTAGTAAAATATATCTGAAAGAAACATTAATAGAACTTTAGTATAATTTTTGCAGCAGAATTTAAGAAACACTATCCACATGATTTTAAATAGGCATTAAAATCACCAGATCAGAAAATACTACATATACATCCAGAACTAGAGGAATAAGATTATTAAGCAAATCTTTTAGTACAAGATATTTAGTATCTTTGCACAGGACTCTGAATTTTATTTCAACACTTGTCAAAATTTCCTGCCAAATACTGTGAGAAACCTTTAAAAGAAGATTATTACGCTATGGCTTAGGCTTTTGTGCAAGAGGCCTCCATTCTCTAAATATATATTTGTACATGACTAAAAAAAGGTCAATATTGAAGAAATATTAATTCTCGACTATTCAATGAGATGTGCAAAAAACTTATAATAGGATAAATGATAAAATAGAATTAGTAATATTTGATTGATCACAATATAATATATGAAATGGCTATCTTAAGATAAATTTATTCAGATCAATCAGTGACAACAGAAATAATATATCCTTTTTGAATATACTGCTATAAACCATAAAGATTATTCTCTTGTAAATCTATAAGGACAACATCTTTTATTGAATAGGTATTACATTTCTCTTTCAGTCTAATATCATAACTATATACAATTAACTCTTCCAATCTAGTATTATCAACTGAATGAAATTTCCAATGTTAATTATGCGAAAAACTGAGAAGCATTATGAATATATTATTCAGATTTAGCTTTATCAACTCAGCATCGATCAATTCAGGATTGTGTTCAGCATCTGCTTCATATGGATACTATAGTAATCATTGATGTTTAAGATCATAGCCTTCTCTGCATATTTCGCAAGCGTAGAATTGACAATTTTAATCAGAGATGGTAGTTTTATGCACGTGATTGTTTGAGATGTTATAGTTATGCTTAGATTAGCAAGAGTATCTATGAAGACATTAGAAACACCGGTGGAATCTAAATATATTGTCAAATTTATCTTTGCATTATTAACAAACTTGTTATGAATTTCGTAAAAAAAGTAGTATATAAATAGGAGCTGCTTTTCGCTTATGCTTGTGATATTTCATTTTTTGAAGAAGGGTTAGATGAAATATATAATTCATCAAAAAAACCTTTAATCTTGCATCTTCTCTTTCATAATTGCACAAAAATCATTAAACAAGTAGATTGTTTGTTTTTTCTCCTATTTTCACTAATATATAAAATTTTAGTTATTATTTCTATTACCCTAGAGAAGGATAAGACAGAAGGTAAAGGTGGCAGTGATGAAAGTAAAGGTAAAACCAGAGGTGAAGGTGGAGGTGGAAGTGAAAGTTCTATACCAGCTTGAGTATGTTGTTGAAATGCAAGTGTATGGGTTACCACTATTCTGTTATAATAGCCTAAGCAGATCGTATTACCTACTTGTAAATAACTTGGCAAAGTATTGTTAGTTTGATCCTTTGCAATAACATACTTGGTTACCTTTTCCGTTTTATTGACTTCTGGCTTCAGTATATTGTAATTGCATATGATCCAGTATAGTGCTCTGAGCCGGTCGAGTTGACCCAGGTTGATCGACCTGACTTGAATTTTTTCTCGAGTCAGATTTATCATTTTTATGACATGAGTTCTAATTCGATAAAACCCGTCGGGTCAGGGTCACGTTTTTCCTTAACCCGGGTGACCCGGGTGACCCAGATGATCAGTGATCTAAATTTTCATAATATAAATTACGCGCTAGACTAATTTACGTTACGCGACTTGAATTTGTAAACAAATAATATATAATGAGTGAAAC